ACATATATATATATATATATATATATATATATACCAAGTTGTACCTTTCCGAATGGTTTTTTTTTTACATACGCAACAAAAATACAGAGGCAAAAGCAATTTTAAAAAAAAGAGAACAAAGTAGAAATAAGTATATATGTATATAACAAAAGATTTAAAAACACTTCAGTAGCAGTCCAGCAAGGAAAAAAAAAATGGAATGAAAAAAAAGCAGCCTACTCACATTAATCCATTTTGCATACAGAAAAACAACCAAAAAATGACGATGAGCAAATAAAAACAAAGGACAAAAATAAGATACGCCCCAATGTACATTCAATACACTCCTAAAATCAAGAATTTGACGGCCAACAAAAAAAAATGCAGCTACATGATAACTGGCATGAAATTATACCATAAAGAAAGATGCATAGAAAAAAAAAAGTTGGCGTATCAAATAGAATGGCACTTTAAATTTTTAGCCTATTTGCCAACTGGTTTCTGAAGCACATAAATGCCTTTATTGATACAATATCCCTTAAAAAAAACACTGGCAAGTGTGGATGATAACCCACCTCAAAAAGAAAAAAAAATGTGCGTTCCCTAGAACGAACTCGGATACCATTAATTCACACGTCTTTTGATAACTTTCTGAGTATGTAGTTAAAACCAGATACGATCGTTTACCACTTTTGCACAACGTATCAGTTGCTGTCTCAGCCCCTGTGGTCATCAAAACAGAAAAACAAACTGCAATCGCAACGCGTTCATAGGTTTCACTCAAATAAGCTATTCTATGTAGCAAAAATAGGTAATTGATATTGTGGAGGACATCCGTTCTAATGTATGAAAGACGTCTACTCGTCCAGGAAGGCCATTCCAACGCAGTAAAGACAAATGACGGATCTTCCTCGTTGGTGACAGCCTTTTGAATACTTCTCTTCAATCAAAGAAGATTTCCGTCAGAAAGATCCACTACATAATGAAGAAGGCATGGACACATAAATATAATTTGTCACAATGGTGAAATATCCCGAATACAGGCATTAGAGCATCGTTGTATAAAATAATGTGCCACAGAATGCGCCTATAAAAGTTATAATAGAACGTCGTAAACTTTCCGCAATATCAGAAATTCGTCAATATGGATGTGAAACCTCACATACATGACCAGCCTACCCATCAAAGCCAAAAAAGAATGAAATGAGAAACTCAACGAGAAAAAGAACACAAAAAAGGGGAAAACCAAAACACATACAGTGAATAAAAATAAAACACAAAAGTCATCTTATTTTCACCAGGCATACGCTCCTATTTTAAGAAGTGATCAACAACCTCAAAAAAAAAAAGATTTTAAAGAGCAAAAATAACACATGCCCAAACTCAGTACTTCGGGCTGCAAAAGCCAACTAACGCCTCGGTAAAAACACACCTCTTTCCTTGGGGAAAAACTCCCTCTTAACATCACGTTTAAGTGTTTGCAAGGGTGTGTGGGCGGCATTGAAGGCGTGGAACCGTTGCAACGAAGCCTGGCGTATTTTTCTGCGGTCCAAAGCGTCATATTTTCTTCCTGGAGGACCGCTGGCGCGAGCCATCACCCTTTCGCGGAAAGGCCGGCGAACAAACGCATCGAAGTCGGCGGCGCGCAACCGGCCATCGCTCCTTCCTTTCGAGCGAAACACGCCCCTAGCTATGGGATAAAAAAACCTAAAAGACATCGGTCGGAAAAACACCTTAAAAAATAAGAAGAAAAGAAGGGGACTTAATTGCTCCTGGAGGGGGCGGGGATTGTTGAGGGGGGCCGATCCGGGCGCCGCGCCGCCGCCCCTGACAAAAATGTTTGGGTTTTTTTGTGTTCCCGCCCCCTCCCCTTTGCGGTTTGGACGCTCGCCCTTGTGGGGGGCACCGGCGGGCCCGGGCGAGAAAGTCCTGCGCAAGTTTGTCTTACAGCAGCGCGCTGCTTTTATTGCTGTATGTTTTCTTTCTTTTTTTTTGTTGGAAGCATGCCATCCTGCATCCTGTCAAAATTCTTATTTCTTTTTCCGTCGTCTTGTCGTTTTTTTTTTTTTTATCACGCCAGTTGTCGCAATATAAGAAGGTTGTTTGCCTTTTTTTTTCCTGCCTATTGTTCCCAGGTCTTATGCGAGTGAGCACCTGGTTGGTTATTCCCGTTGTACTAGGCGCACTGTGCTTTGCGCTATCACAATTTACTATGAAAGAAGTGGAGGATGCTTGGTATGGGCATTCTGTTGCCAATGTGACTTCAGAGTCGGCTCAGCTGAAAAATCAGAAATATGTGGGTAATCACACTCCAAAGACAGTTGGCCTTGAAGATCACAAAGACCATCCTCTAGAGGAAAGCTTCTGCTGTTGCACAATAGACACAATCAGCAGTGGCACTAAGGATATTGCTAAACTCTTAAACAACATAACAAAGCGACCATTTTTTCGTTTCTTCAAAGTGAATTTGGAGAAGCCTTGTCCTTACTGGGCGGTTCAACTTCTTTGTACGAGCGAAAAAAGTAGCTGTCAGGTTTGTTCGTGTGATGAAAATGATGTCCCTGAGGCTCTTAAATACTCACATGATATGAGCGATCCTTCCATAAGTGATTCTCATGTTTTGTATACAGCACCAAATCCTCTGAACGTTGATCAGTGGGGTATTTGGAGGGATGCAGACACGGCTGCGTCGTATGTTGACCTTTTTCAAAATCCTGAGGGAAACACAGGGTATTCAGGGCCTATGGCGTCTCGAGTGTGGCAGGCTATTTACAAGGAAAACTGCATGACAGACACCTCTGAAGAGGGTGTGTTAAATCCTGAAAAGCAATGCAAGGAACAACTAATTTTTAAAAAGTTGATTAGTGGATTACACACTTCTATTACAATGCATGTGGCTACTTTTTTTCACAAGGACGTTGCGGGAACATCGCCGTTAAAAGAGTTTGGAGTGTTGAGAAACCCCAATATTTCCTATTTCCCAAACTGTGTGATGTATGGGCGGGTCGTAAGCAACAAGGAATTTGTTAATAATCTTTATGTACTCTATCAATTTATTCTCCGTGCACTTACAAAAAGCAGGTTGGAGTTTCTCTCCGATCTCAATGCATTTAACTCTGGGAGTAACGGTGTGCCTACAACGGAAGATCTCCTTCTCCATGCAGAACTTCGGGAACTTTTTAATAACCATTTATTGTGTTCTCCAACTTTTGACGAAACAAGATTTCTGGAGTCAGCAGAAGCGCATCGACTTGTTCCACAAATGAAGCAAATGATGTATAACATTACAACCTTGATGGATTGTGTAACCTGTGAGAAATGCCGCGTGTGGGGAAAACTTCAAACTATGGGCATTGCCACAGCACTCAGGATTGTTATGGTTCCTGAAGACACGGTATCTGGACTCAGTCGAGGAGAAAAGGTTTCCCTCATCAACCTGGCGCGTCAGCTTGCGATTTCAGTTCAAAGTTTTCATGTACTGAAGGCTGTATGTCAAAAAATGGAAGCTGCGCAAAAATAGATGGTGAGTGTTGGTAGTCATAGTTTTTCTTGTTGTTTTGCTTGGTAGGGGAAAAAAGAGTGTATTCGACTTCTGAAAATTCTACATGGAAGGCCGCCAAGTAAATAGATGTGTATTTGGGGTAAAACATTATTAGCGGATAGTGGGGAGACGTTTTCTTGCAATTCGGATGGTATGCTTGGAAAAGCTTCTGTGTGTTTCCATAAGACCTGTACGATGTTGTTTTCATCTATTAATGTTTGTCTTGGTTGTGTTTTTGTGCCATCTTTTTTTTGTTTTACTTTCTCTCTCTCTCTCTATCTCTCTCTCTTTCTCACACACACCTGGTTGTGGTTTTTTTCAGGTGATTGTTCAGGCCTTTGTAGCTGAAAATGGAGCAATGGGTAAGTTGTCGCGCTCAAAATCAGAAGAGAGAAACATCAACAATGGTTTCTCTTTTTTCTGAGACGGAGGAAGAACAGTGGCAAAGATTAAAGGAGGAAGCAATGATCGAATCGGGTGAGGATGACGACAGCATTATGGACGGTGGAACCTTGACGTTACCACAGGAGACAAGGAAGCGGAAAACAAGAAAGACTGTGAAGTCAGCAGGCGTTTCAAAGACTGCCCAGGCACAACAACAGAAACTGACTCAATCTATAAGTGCACCTGACATGGAAAAACTTTTGAAAAGGTATCGGGGGTTTGCCACTGATGAAGAGGATGGAGTTGGAATAGACATCACCAAGTTCTTACAGGACGACGCCTTGGAGAGCGAAGCGGAAGAAGATAATGTAACTGCTGGTGATCTGATGTCCTCCTTGTTGACAACAAAGAATACAGCTCCCCAGAAGACGGTGGAGGCGACGCCAAATTTCCCGTTGGTGAGTCTTAACGATGAGATCTATGTGTACGATAAACAGCCGGACTCTAGGAAGGTTGCAATCAAGAAAAAACTACACGAAGATAGGAATGAAACCAATTATGTTGTCAACGATGCTTTTTCAAAGGATCTAAAGGTTGTCACGGAACTTCCGACGGCGGCGCCAAGTACATTGAAGCAGACACCAGACAAAGTGTCTGAGGGGGGAACATCCAGTGGATTGTTTTACTGGTTTGATGCTAAGGAACAGCCTCATACCTCGTCAGAGCCTGGTACTATAATTCTTTTTGGAAAGCTTTATGAGAAGAAGGGTGCAGAAGTCAAATTTCGTTCCTGTTGTGTCAGGGTTAAAAATATTTTCCGGTGCACATTTTTGCATCCCAGAGAGGGTTCATCTGATGCAGATGTTATCAAAGAGATAAATAGTGTGTGTCAAACGCATGGTATAGGAGAGCGACGGGTACGGTTTGTGGAACGATATTACGCCTTTGATGAACCTGGTATTCGGCGAGAGAAAAATCGATGGGCAAAACTCCGGTTTCCTGGTAAATATCCATGCTTTCCAGCGAAAGGGGAATTTAAGCATATTCAGGCGGTTATGGGTGCATCCCGTTCGTTACTTGAGCTTTTCTTGATCAAGAAAAAACTTATGGGACCTTTATACCTTCACATGAAGAATTTATTGGTTGCAACGGACCGTGTCTCCCATTGTGACGTGGAATACGTGGTGGATTCTCCGAAGAATATTGAGGTTGATGATACACCGAGGCCCTCGCCACCCTTTACGCTTGCCAGTATCCAGTTACATACCCAGTTGGATATCAAGGGTGTAACAAATGAAGTTGTGGCTGTATCGATTGCCGTTTATTGTGGTGTTAACATTGATGGTGGCATGAAACCAGAGGTTTCAGAATGTTTTACAGGTGTTCGACAGCTCTCATCCGATGCGGCGTTACCACTAAACTTGGAAGCCTATTGTCACTCGAAAGGATTGCCTGGTGTACGATCTTTTGGAAGTGAAAGAGCTCTACTTACATGGGTAGCCTCAACTTTGGGGAATTTGGATCCAGACATTGTAGTTGGTCATAATTTTATTGGATATACCATTGAGATTCTTTTGAATCGCTACCACGAACTGAATATACCTCAATGGTCTACGATTGGGCGCCTTGATATTAGGCGCTTCCCACGTTCACAGTATGGAAATGTCAATCTGGCAAATGAAAAAGAGGCATGTATAGGACGTCTTGTCGTTGACACATATCTTCTTTCCAGAGAGTATTACAAAAGCACAAACTACAAGTTGGCGTCTCTAACTACTCAAATGGGGGTTTCAGGGATTACAGATGGTCGTGGCTCATTTGAGCCTGGGTCAACGGTTCTGGATAAGGGTATCATGGCATCCTCTAAAGACATGTTTCATATTCTTTTGCAACTTCTTAATTATGCAGTACTTTCTGTGAGAGTGGCCGCCTTTCTTGATGTGATTCCACTCACCAAACGGTTAACAACATTGGCAGGCAATTTATGGAGCCGAACTTTGTATGGTTCGCGTTCAGAACGAATTGAGTACCTTCTCTTGCATGCATTTCACAATCTTAAGTTTGTGACACCTGATAAGAAACGATTTGATGGAAAACGAGGGCGACACGACATGGATGATGAAACTAAACGCAAAACTAAATACCAAGGTGGTATGGTATTGGAACCCAAGACAGGCCTTTACTCCGATTATATTCTTCTCCTAGACTTTAATTCGCTTTATCCCTCTCTTATTCAGGAGTTTAATATCTGCTATACCACGATTGAACGGGGTGAAAATACGGTGTCTGTCGAGATTCCCCCACCGGAGAGCCTAATTTGTTCTTTTTGCGCGGCTGCAGGGCTGCCGTCTCCGTGCTTACACAGGTGCATCTTACCGAAAGTTATTCGAGGCTTGGTGGAGAGCAGGCGAGAAATTAAGCGTTTGATGAAAACGGAAAAGGATCCAAGCAACCTTGCGACGTTAGAGATTCGTCAGAAGGCTCTCAAGTTGACAGCCAACAGTATGTATGGCTGTCTTGGTTTTGAACACTCCCGCTTCTATGCTCAGCCTCTCGCCGAACTTGTCACGCGACAAGGCCGTATTGCTTTACAGAATACCGTAGAGTTGATTCCGCAAATATCACCCTCATTACGAGTTATTTATGGTGACACGGATTCTGTAATGATTCAAACTGGTATAAAGGACAACATTCGGAATGTACGGGAACTGGGTTTTGAGATCAAGAATAAGGTTAATCAACGCTACCAAAGTTTGGAATTGGACATTGACGGGGTGTTTAGAGCCATGCTTCTTCTTAAAAAGAAGAAGTACGCGGCATTGAGTGTTGTGGATTGGCAAGGTGAGGGGACAACATACAAGAAAGAAATTAAAGGTTTAGATATGGTTCGTAGGGATTGGTGTCCACTTTCACAGAAGGTCTCAGAGGCGGTACTGAGCCGTGTTTTGAATGCCAATGCGGGCGAAGATATACTGGACTACGTTATGACCCACATGAAAACTGTTGCCGATGATGTGCGTGCGGGAAATTGCTACGCTCTTGAGGAATTTGTTATTTCAAAGAGTTTAACAAAGGAGCCTGAGAGCTACCGTGGGACTGCGTTTCCCCACGCAGCGGTTGCGCTGCGTATGAAGCAGCGAAAAGAAAATGTTCGCGTTGGTGACCTCATCCCCTACGTCATTTGCGAAGGTGAGCACCTCAATGACAAAGCGTATCACGTGGATGAGGTACGACGCAGCAAAGGACTCCGCATTGACCTCGAGTGGTACCTATCCTCACAGCTGTACCCTCCTGTGATGCGCTTGTGTGAGCACATTCAAGGTTTTTCGCCGGAGCAGTTATGTGAAGTCATGGGAGTTGCCTGCCATGTGCGAACAGAACGGGAAATTCAGGAAACCTTCACCGTGGACGATTTTTCGCATTGCTCCTTATTCAAGAGTCGAGAGCTATCCGAGTGCTTCCCCACCGCAGTGCCCCTTCAGGTTCAATGCACACGGTGCCATCAGGTTGTTCCCATCGATCCACACAAGTACATCTGTGGCATGGTTCATGATTCTAAGAAGCCGCTTCCTAGTACACCCTTTGCACTGTACGCGTGTGTGAACTGTGGCCAACCTCTCTCCCTTGCATACCTAGCAAATTGTCTGACGCAGATGTGCCACAACACAATTCAGCAATTTTACATATCAGGCGGGAATGCTGCGGCGGTGCGAGCCGTGCGAACACAATTTACGTATTTTCGAGCCCTGTTTGACGTTCCACACGCCCCTGGATGCTCTCCTGTTATTAAAGACATCCACTGCAATCTTGCGCTGCGGTGCTTAGGCACAGACCAACAATTGTACACACTCTCTAGCGCTGCCTCTGCTTCGGATGTGGAGCCCGTGGATCATTTGTTTTTTTGCGCCGATAGTTTTTACAGGAGAATAGATCATTTGCTTGTCAACATTGACAATTTATTCGCATCCATGTAGAAGCGGAGCCACCATACAGAACGTCAATGATACTTGCATAGAGTAGTCATAGAGAGAGAGAGATAGATCTATGTGTGTGTGTTCACTGCCGACATATGGGGTGGTGGTGGTGATGATGATAATTTAACCCCTGTGTGTGTGTTTTGTCTTTTTTGGTTTACTGTTTTTTCCCCCTCTTCTTGTTGAGTATTTATAGCATTGGGAGGGAGCAAACGTTTTTTTTTTAAAAAAAAAAATTTATATGGCGGCTTCTATTAGTTTTCCTCTCTGCGACGGCGTCTTTACAGCGATCCGTGTGCAGACTGCGCGCCTTGCCCTTAACGATCTTAATTTTCCACTGGATGCATCACTCTTGCTCTTGTCTTTACCTCTTCTTGCCGCTATGGGCGTTCATTGCCTTTGCAACGACGGTAGCAGGTAGAAGGAGGGAAAGAGCAACCCCAAAGAAGAAAAAGAAAAAACAGGGAGAGCCGGAGGTTAGAGCGCGAAAAAAAAAGAGTGACGAAAAGAGGGGAGAGAGAGTTTAAGAAACTCTTCCTCTGCCACTCACACACAGACACAGAGAGATACTTATTTATATATTTATATATACTTGCCTGCAGCAAGCAAAGAAGGGGATAGAGAATGCCACCCCAGCCGGCCCCACCGCGTATGATAGATCGCCGCCACGTTTTTGGCGTCTGCGAAAAGGTGAAGGACGGCTTTCAGTATCTCGATGACACCAATGTCGTCTGGGTGGCTGGGAAGAGTCTTGTCGTTCTGGACACGCAGCTTGGTACACAGCAGCTAATCCCTTGCACTCCTAGCTGCAACTTTGTCACAGCCCTGGCGATTTCTTACAATCGCCGGCTACTGGCTGTGGCGGAGAGCTCCAAGTTTCCCTGCATTGTTATCTACGTATGTGATATGAGTGGAACTCCAAAGCTAAAGCGGAAGAAGCTTCTACAAGTGCTCGATCTCGGTTCAACGGAATACGTTTCACTTGGCTTCTCCTTGGATGGGCGCTATCTCATCTCGCTCGGTGATCACCCCGAGTGGAACGCTGTGTACTGGAATGTGGAGCGGGCCAAGGTGGTGGCCTCCTGTGCCGTACTTGATGAAAAGGAACTCTCCTCCAAAGACAGGCATCTGCTTAATCAGTGCAGTATTTGCCCCAATGATGCCTCACTGGTGTGTGTTTCGGGTCAAGGCGTTGTGCGGTTTCTAGTGCAGCAGGAGAGTCACCTGCGTCCTGCCGCAGGTGGATTGCGGGAGCCAGTCACCAAATACCTGGCCCATATGTGGATTCCGTCAGAGAACCGGCTTATCCTCTCCACTGAGAACGGTGATCTTATTGTCATGGAGAACAACGAGTATAAGTACCCGCTTCCAATTTCCCCGTCCGATGGGATTGCCATCACCACCCTGGTGGCCTATAGCAAAGGATTTATATGCGGCGGAGACATGGGCTTGATTTGCATCTTTGAGCGAACTGACAATAAGGAGATGTATCGCAAGGTTCGAACCTTTAAATTTAACAACGACGCAGAAAATATGGGACCTCAAAGTGAAGTCGTTCCGGCGATTCTCTCGCTCACACTCTCGCCTCAGCCTGCAGAGGAGTATGTGTCCTTCATGACTAGTACGAAACAGTTATACTCCCTCAATCTCCCCAACGCCGATTTCTTTAAGTCGAATGAACGGGTGTTTGAGCCTATTGGTCAACCCTTCCATTCCGGGCCTGTGATTGGCGTGGACGTTTGCGTGCAGCGGCCGCATGCGGTGACCGCCGGCCGAGACCGCTGCATCTTTTTGTGGAATCTCATCACAGGGGTTGTCGAGTTTCGTAAACGGTTTCCAACCGACATCTACAGTATTGCCATGCATCCATCAGGACTGCATCTTTTGGTGGGACTCGCTGATGGGCTTCGCATGATGAATTTGTACCATAATGATGTTCGAGAATTTAAAAACATCGGCATTCGCTCCTGTGTGGAGTGCCGTTTCAGCACAGGTGGTCAGTTCTTCGCGGCAGCCCACGCCACCACTATTCATGTATACTACACGTACACATGTGAGCTGCTCGGACATCTGCGCGGGCACAGTGGAAAGGTCAAGAGCATTTACTTTGTGCCCCCCGATGACACAAAGTTGATCTCCGTAGGCCTGGACGGCGCCGTCTGCGAGTTCAACCTTTGCGACTTTCACAAGCTCCACGACAACGTGCTTAAGGCCATGACGTACAACTGCGCCGTGGCTGATGTCGGCACCGTATGGACCGCCGGTAATGACCGCAAACTTCGCCAGTTTGATCGTGCCAAGTTACAGCCCGTCGCTGAGTACGATCTGCAAAACGCCTCGCTGTACTCTATGGTCATCAGCTCCAAGTTAAAACTACTCGTCGGCGGCGCCGAGGATGGCACCGTTCGTGTGTTTAATACCTATCTGGGGGAGAAGTTTTCTGGCGCGGACCGCGAACGGGAGAGTGGGGGCGAGATCACGATTGAATCCCACAGCGCTCACTCTGGTATCGTCACGCGCCTCGCGCTGACGTTTGATGAGTCGATGGTGGTCAGCGTCGGCGATGACGGCGCCGTGATCTTCTGGGACGTCGTAGCCCCCTACCGTGGACCGCAGAAAGAGGTGGAGTATTGCCGTGAGCTCTTTATGGCTCGTGCCGACCTGGAGGCAGCCACAAAGGCGGTCGCCGCACTAGACACCGAGGTGAGTGAGCTGAAGCAGCGGATGCTGCAGCAACAGATTAGGCGTGACAGGGTGCACGATGAGAAGCTGGCGAAGCTGGACCGGGAGCGCGCTGACGAGCAGGCGCGTCGCCTTGCCCAGCACAAGGCGCTGAAGGCGGAGAAGAACGAGCAGGCCATTCAATTCACCGAATTTATGGCGGAGATGGAGGCGAAGGAGAAGGAGACGCTGCGGCGCACCAAGGAGGACTACAGCGTCAAGATTGAATCCCTGCGCAACCGCGCTGACCGACTGCGACAACTCATTGATGAACGTCAAAAGGAGCAGGACGCCCACCTTGCCGAGGTGCATGAAATTGCCGCACGGAACCGGGCGCAGGACAAGGAGTGTCAGCAGGTGGTGTTGCAGGAAATGGACGACGAACACCATCGCCTGATTGTGGAGAAGGAGCAGGACGAAAAGAACACCGACAGCTACTGCGCCTTGATTGAGGATGACACGGACGTGGAGGTCACCCTGCTGAAGGAGGATGTCGAGAAGCGCCGCAAGGAGCAGGAGGAGGAGGTGGCCATCCTGCAGGCGAGCAACGACCTTTTGCTGTCGCGGGAGAACATCATAAAGGCTGACCTGGAGGCGATTAAGGCAGATGTGCGGGAGAAGCTCCGGCAGCAGACCACCTTGGAGTCACAGATTGAGGCGGCAAAGCGCGACATTGGGGCCCTCACGCAGGAGTTTAAGGACCGTGGAGAGACGATTGCCGAGAAGGAGCGCCGGGTGCTGGATCTCAAGAAGAAAAACCAGGAGCTGGAAAAGTTTAAGTTCGTGCTGGAGTACAAAATCAGGGAGCTCAAGTCGCAGATTGACCCACGTGATGAGGAAATTCGGCAGGCGAAGAGCCGTCTGTCGGAGATGGGTAAGGAAGCGGACAACTACATACACAGCAACGAACACCTCGTGTTGCAGATTCGCAGCCTGCGGCAGAAGAAGGCGGGGCAGCAGAGGGAACTCGACAACCTTGCAGAGAGCATGCGCGGGTTTTCGGAGTACCTCTCGCGGCTGTGGACGGAGCTGTGCGACCTGCAGGATGAGAAGAACCCGCGCAAGTTGAAGGAGTCGGCCAAGATGCTCTTTGACAAATACACCTCCAGCAAGGCGTCTGCCGCGAACAAGGCGCTCGCCTCCCGCACAGCCGCGGATGAGGTGCGGGAGTACAGCCGCGAGCGCGACCACCTCGAGCGCAACCTCGCAGGGCTGAAGAACAAGGTGAACAAAGACGCGGAGAACAACCGCACCGACAAGAGTCGCATTACCACGGAGAACGTCATCCTCATTAAGGAGATTAACGACCTGCGTAAGGAGGCACGACTGCTGGCTGGAAAGGCGGGTGCCTGGCGCCAGACAGAAACTGCAGGTGCTGCCGCGCAAGAAGAGGATGCTGCACGCGAGCTCACGATGCAGCGGGTGGAACTGCAGCGCCTTCGTCTCTTGGCAACCAAACTGGAGGATGAGGCACGCGCAAAAGGCATCACGTTGAAGCTCCCTTTACTCGGAGGAAGGGAAAGTAGAGAATTGAAGAGGCGTTGATATCGTTCTTTTCATCTCTCTATGTGTATGGACTGGTGTCGCTTCTGCGGCTTCTTTATTTTGGTGGTGGACTCTGCACCCTTGTCTGTATGAGTCTTGCTCCGCGTTGGCGTGGGTTATTGCTCCTTTTTCAGTCGTCTGCCACATCCTTCGCAGACCCCCTCTGCGTGGCGTCGTCGGTGTGTCATGTAAACAAAGAAATATATATATATATATATATATATATATATATATACTTCCCCTTAAACACACGCACAACGCCAAGCTGTGGGAGGATTTTTTTGTGTTGTGGCTGCAAGTGTCGCCCACTGCGGTACGTGTGTGTCTTTATGTGGAAGAGAGGCACGCAGGAACAGGAGAGGGAGAGAGCCGTACAGAAATGATACCCACACATATGTATGCGTCGCTTTCTTGCAGTCTTTTTTTTTTCTTCTCAGTTATAAGCACATACTCTGTGCCTCTTCTCATCCCGCTCTCTCGCTCTGCGTCTGGGAATCTTTCGGAGGTTGTGTTTCCGAAACGCCCCCCATCTCTTTCCTCTTCTTGTTTTCTTGTTTGCTCTCCATGCATATACAAACACACACACTCCCTCCTCCTCCTCCTCCTCTCTCTCTCTCTCTCTCTTAACGAGCTTACCAATTCTGTTCCCTCTCGCTGGCTGAGGTTTTTTTTTTACCGTTAGTGATGCTTTCGTGCTCCGGCACTCGTTGCTGCTTCGCCGCGATGGCGGTGGATGCCGCGCGTCGTTACGCAGCAGGGCAGCACGAGGCGGGCGACAGCCACGCCGCCGAGGCGGTGTTGTGGTTTGATGATACCGTGGTCGAGCGGCGGGCGCTGGAGGAACACGTCCGCAGCCCCGCGTACAAGGAACTGCACCGTCCAGCCCTCACCAACGCGGCCATGGGGCTCTACGGCGGCGAGCCTGGCTTTGAGAAGGCGCATCGTGTGTGGGTCGACCCGGACCGACCTCACATGAAGCACCTCTACAACAAGACGGCCCTTGCGAAGAACCTCCGCTACGCCCGCTATGGTTACTTCAAGCGTGACATGCACATTCTGGACATCGACAAACTCATCCGACACGCCCGGATGCTCCCAATACCGGGGCGTCTGCTGACTGATTTTTTGTACCAACGGGTGCCACTGCCGGATAAAAGCTGCGCTGCGCTTATCCGCTTCCAGTGTCAGCAGATTGAAATGCTGGAGGAGTGGCAGCGACATACCAGCTTCCAGTGTGCCGCGGAGATGTTTGAGCGCCTGGTTGTGACAAATATCCCTCCCGTAGAGGTGGGCGTTGAGACACACGCCGAGATGGTACTGTGTGCCGCGGCAAGCGGCAAGTGGGAGGAAGGGTGGGACATCTACGTAGCCCGGGCGCGTGAGATGGAAGTAGACTCCCCCGACTCCTTTGTCCTTAACACGTACTTTTTTGATGCCGTATTGACACTATGTGTGGCGGCAGCCCGCGTGGAGGAGGGGATGTCTATCATGGAGGAAGTCATCACGCGGAACCTACGTCCGCGTGCCACGATACTCGACAAGGCCATGCTATTGTGTGCTATGGGGGCTGAGAGGATCGCGAAGGGGATGGGGACGGACGACGGCGTGGAACAGCAGAAGAAGTTAGAGCAATGCGGCCTTGAGCTGTGGGCGCTCTACGATTTTTACCAACTCCCACGAACCACCGTGTCTATTGAAGCCTACATGCGTATGTGTTGTGCCTTTTTCCAACCGACCCTCGTGCTAAAGGCGCAGAGCTTTGCCGATGCGGCTGGCATTCGTCTCTCCTTGGAGTGTTTTCATTGGTTGGTGTATGCCCTCCGCGAGGTTGCGGACTTCGGGGATTACGTCATGGATGTGTTTTCACAGCTCACTCCGCGGGGTCTGACACCGGATTTTGTTCTTTTTACTATGGCCTTTATGCACTGCGCGCTGCAGCGGGACGGTGAGCTGGCGCTTGCCATTTACGACCAGCATTTTATTCACGCAAACATCAATCCCACCCCAGAGATGGTGCTTTTGTTTATTCAGTCATGCGCCCACTGCGAGAAGCCTCGTGTAGCCATGCTGGAGCGGTGTGAGGCGTTGCTGCGTCGTCTCGAAGAGGTGGGAAGCAGCGTCGACTACATCACGCCGATGTATGATCAGTTTCTCGAGCTGTGCGGCCAGCTGGGGGCTGTGGCCTCGGGCTTTAGTGTGCTAAAGAAGCTTGTGAGTCTAGGCAAACCTCTCACCACACGTATGCTTAACTCGCTCTTGCTGGCTAACGCGTACGCCACCCCGCCAAATGGGTCACTTGCCATGACGGAGGAAATTGCTCAACTCTTTACGCTTCTCAAGGTGCCGCCAAACAAAGACACCCACATTTGTCTCGGATACTGCACCAAAGCCTTTGGGGCGTCGTCGTCCCTGGATGCCTTTAGCGCCACCGTGGACGCCAAAATTGAGATGCTTGATGATACGCTTGCGTACGATGCGGACATTCCCGTGTTGCAAGTCCCACCAAACGAGCTTCGCCAACTGCGTACAGAATGGAAGCTTCGACCTCGTGACATCATGCTGCGCCGCTTTGGACAGTACACGAAGTTCAGGGGGAAAGACGCCTTGGATGTGGGAAGTATGCACGGCAGTGTCATCCCGTTTGGCCGTACACCCGGGGAGCAGAACGTCTAAACAGCTTGACTTTATCCAAGTCATCAGCACACAGATTGTTGCGTATACACTGCGAGTGGGTGCCCAACTTCCTCTGCCTGAGAAGTGTCTCAGAAGGAGGGGGAAGAAGAGCAACACTACCAACACACATACAAAGATGAATGACAAAGAGGAAGATGGAGCCAGCGACAGTTTTTTTTTTTTTGCTCTTGTTGATCTTGTGATTTGCTGTTGTTATTTTGCTGTGACGTTTTGTTTTCCGTTTCCCTCTCCTCACCACCTCCACTATTCCTCCTGCTAACATGCGTTGTTTGTTTGTTTGTTTTTGCCCACGTTCCGCCCCACTGACTTGCTTTTTACTCCCTCGCATTCTACAGGTGGGTGGGTGGGGGCCAGCTGGGAGACGAATGCTGCAGTGGGAGTGGCCAAAGACGTGGCCTACGGAGAGCAAGGAGGTGATTCGCGTTTCTATTGAGCAGGCCATCCGCAAGGCGATGTCGGGGGGAGCCAACGCCCAACTTCGTGGTACAGTCATTGTGGACGAGTTGAACCTGGGAAGCGTTGCGCCGGAGATTGCGTTAAATGGGATTCGAGAGCTCTCCGCGGAGCACACCGCCATCCTGGTGAAGGTCCGCTATCACGGCGACTTCTCAGTGCGGCTGCGCGGGCTAGAAATTAACCTGGATACGGTCGGAGCAGGCGCCGAGGACTCCGATGCAAACTTTGCCCTCCCCTTTTTTTGTCCCTTTGAAATGACGCTGCAGGATATCCACATCGACGGCATGGTCTCCATCGAGCTCTTTCAGGAGCTGGAAGAGAACCCACAGTGGGAGCAGGCCTCATCACTGACGCTACACGCGGATTTAACGCCGAGGGTTGTGAAGAATAAGGTGCGGCTTCCATCGCATTCTACGCGTTCGACCGGGGTCAATGACCGCCTCGGGTACGGAGTTCTTCTAGCTGGGGGCGGCCGTCGTGGAATGCGGCCGCCTGGTGTGCTTGACGCACATGAAACCTCCACATCCTCACTGGAGGCCGATATCGTCACTGATAACGTTTTGAAATTGTCCAGGCAGGCACGTTGCGGCGTTCCGTCCTTCGTAGACATTTTTGCAAAGAAGGTGATGGTGAAGCGACGCATGATGAAGGTGCAGCTGTTTGGTGATCCACTCAAGAACTTCCGTGTGATTTCCAACTTTAGTACGGTGCCTGGGGCCAACAGCAAGGTGGATGGTACTGTTCGGATGCTTATTAGGCCGGCCATTGAGGCACTCATGGAGGAGGGCATAGCCTTTCCAATTTAATCGCCGGCGGACGTGTGTCTGTATCCACGGCCAGCTGCATACATGCATATGTGGAAATGGTGCATGAGCACCTGTGGTTGATTGTTGCTGTCTTTCTCTTGCTAGTGATGTTTCGTTCTCCATCGCTTTTTCTTGTGTGCTATTTAGCTGCTTTACTGCTTGTTGGTGTCTATTATTCTTATTACTAAGCCTTGGAACGAAACGTTATCAATACTGCTTGTCCCTTTCTCTCCTCTCTCTTCCCTGCGGGCAGGGTTTCCACCCCAGTAGGAATGGGGCGCGATGAGAGAAGGTGTGTGTGCGTGCATGAGGGAGAAAAAAAAAAAGAGAAGTAATTTTTGTGGCAGTTACGGTTACCCAGACTTCCTGCTGAGCGAATCCTAATCCTCTTTTGGATGTGTTGCGGCAGCGCGTAGATCGCTGAGACAGTGGAAACAGAAAACAAAACAGAAACAAAACAAAAAACTTGAATTTTTGCCGGACCCTTTGCTCCCATCCATCTGTCGTCACACCCCACAGTGGGGTGTGTTCTTGTCGCTGCGCAGTTGAATCGTGGCGGCTTCGGTTGCTCTTCGGGGGAGCAGGTGTGAGGTGGCACACATTTCCGTCTCTTCATTCTGCTGTTTTTTTCTTGTTGTTTCTTTAGAGGGGGGGACGCCAAAAGGCAGGGCAGGAACAAAGTCTTCCTCTGGGGGAGGTTTGCGGTGAACCAATTCAAGTGGCCCACACACACACACACACACACACACACACACACTTCACGCGCCTCCTCGTCCGCTGGAGCAAAGGAGGGTGCAAGGTGTGAAACATGTCGTCGGGGTCCAAACGTGTAACTGTGGGGGTCCGGGTACGGCCAAAGCTGGATGGCACTGTGAATGTTCTGCAGACAGCAGAACGCTACGAGCCGATGGCCTGCTCACGGTGCTCTGAGACGACGCTGCGCATCTGGGATGGACGGCCAACGCCGGACAGCCGGATCTTCTCCTTTGCATACGACGCGGTGTTTGACGAGCATGCGCCACAAGAGGAGGTCTACGAAGAATTTGTCTTGGAGGCGGTGCATGACGTACTTGGCGGCACCAACGCCACCATCCTCACTTACGGCCAAACAGGCAGTGGGAAGACGCATACGGTGCTCGGTAAGGTGCGAAAAAATTCACCGGGCGACAGCATCATCACTAGTGACACTGGCATTCTCTTGCGTGCTCTGCAAGACATTCTGCACTACGCTGCGAGCCTTAAAAACAAATTTCATGTTGTCGTTGGTCTCTCCGCGGTGGAGGTTTATCTTGACGAGATGCGGGACCTACTGGCTGAGGAACGGCAGCCCAATGTCGTTCATTTAGCCCTCGTGAGAAATGTAGTTCGTGTTTCAAAGGTGCGGTATGCTCCCATTTGCTGCCTCGAGGATGGGCTGAGAGTGTTTCATCAGGCGACGGCGCGGCGGACGCAGCGGATGACGTCCGCCAATGACATGTCATCGCGCTCGCACGCGGTGTTTAACGTCGAGGTCTTTCAGCAGCCTATTACCACAACCAGCACCCGTCCACTCGACCTGGCAGCGTACATCGCTATGAGGGATGCCGATCAGCTTGCACAAGTAGAGGGAAAGTCCCCGAAGATGCCATCCCACCCGTTGTTTCCTACGGCTTCCCGGCCGCTACTCGGCGAGGCCGATGCCCCGGTGATGCACAGCAAGCTTGCCCTCGTTGACTTGGCGGGGAGCGAGAAGGTACGCAGCAGCGACGCCAAGGGCGAGGGGTTTGACGAGCTGAAAAAGATTAATGCCTCTCTCAGTGCGCTGGGGAACGTTGTGCGCAGTCTGCATGTGGGTTCACGGCACATTCCCTACCGAGATTCGAAGCTGACAACGGTACTGCATGACTCTTTTGCGGCTGCCGGAGCACGCGTTGTGCTCATCGTCACCGTCAGTCCTACCACCCTGACGGTGGAAGAGACACTCTCCTCCATGTACTTTGCCGACAAGGTGAAGATGATGAAGCCGGATCCACGCAGTGGCGCATGGAGTGAAAACGATGCGGTCGGTGAATATTTTGCCTCGCTGTGGAAGTATGAAACGCTGCTTGCTGATGTGCATATCGCAGAGGCCATGCACGCATTTACCGCCCCGCAAGTTATCCGGCTTGTTGCCTGCGACCGCAGCAATGTGCTGTATGACCCGGTCTTCCGTGTGAGGAAACCGGAGTGCAGTATACGCAAAATGGCGGTGGACACGATGTGTGAGGCTTTCAAGGCGAACGCCATGGAACGTGCTGGTAGCGATGTGGAGCGGCAACGGTTGGAAGTAGAGAATCAAGCCCTTCAGAGTGAGCTGGTCACAGCTTGGAAAACAAGGTGGATAAGCGCATCCACTAGCCTTAAGGAACTCTTAACGCGGACAGTAGAAGAAGGTAGCGCCGAGGAAGCGGCGCTGCGTGACGAAATCACTGTGGCGTCTGCTCAGCTTCAAGACGCCCGCCTCCTCCGCCGTGAGCTGCAGCAGAGGTACCAATCTGCCAGCGCACGTGCGGAGGAGGCGGAGCCCGCACTGGCCGCTGTGGAGGCACAGCTAAGGGGCGCCGAGGAGGCGGCGACAGCGGATTCGGTCACCGCCTCTGTGGGAATGGGACCGGGCGCGTCACCCACATCCGAGCAGGAAGAAGCGTTGTGGACGAGGGTTTCAGATTTGGCGGCTCAGGCAGTCCAATGTGCTGGTATGCGTTACGATTGGTGTCTGTTGATGTGCGAAACCCGGCAACTTGCTCAGGAGCTGCACCAACAACGGCAGCAGCTGCTGCAACAGCGGGAAATCGCATCACAGCCGCAGGGTGTTGACGATGAGCTGCTTCAGATGGTGCGAAGTAAGGCGGGCAAGGCTGTTGCGACCCCTTCTAAGCGTGAAGAGCAACTCTGGGACAACGACCCCGTGATGCTTGGTGGTCACCCTGTTTTCAACAAGTACGCAGTACCTCGGCCGCGTCAGTACTGGCAACCCCAACCTTCAGAGAGCGAAGACGCAGGGAAGAAGCGCCGCGGCACTCTGTATGATACGCCAGAGCTACTGGAAGATGTTGTCTCCTTCGTGAAGATGGGCGGGGGCGTGACACGATACTCGCGCAACGGCTCGCCATACCACCGGCTCCTGTACGTGGATGGAAAAGCTGGTGAGGAGCAGCTTTCCTGGTCGACGGTGGGGAGTCTAGGAAGTGAGGGCGGTGTCCCCTTGCGCACCGTCACGCAAATACTTTTAGGGCGAAGGGTCACATCCTCCGAGCCGAACTCGTACTACTTGAGCTGGGGCGTGGAGTTCCGGAAAAAGAAATCTACGAAGATCGTGGACTTTGCCTGCGACACAGTGGCCGAATTTGAGGCGTGGGTGATGGGGCTCAGTCAGCTCACCGGGGTGAAACCTCTCTTTGGCGAGCCATTGAAGCTGCAGCCAGGAACGGCGGCGAAGGAGGACGCCCTCAGCGACGTGCAGGCTGCATTTTGTGCAGAATGGCATCTCCCACCGGCGGTGTTCACGGAGGCGCGGAGGCAAATTATGCACCGTCGCAACCGGTCCAGAAACTCGTGTTTTCGATTGACACCGGGAGAATTACGGTATCTTGTCAAGCTAGACATCTTCCGCGCCTCCGCCATGTGGCTGTACTTCTTTGCTGAGGGCATTGTGGTGAATCCGATAGAAAAACTCTACTGCTACGTGGAAGTGCCAGAGGGGTCACACACGATGTTGTCAAGGGTAAAATCGGTCACCAACACAGGCTCGTGTGATGGGTCCTCCGTGAAGGGTATATCTTTCTCTTCGGATAGAAAGGAGGATGAATAGTGCTACAAAAATAATAAGATATGCGGATGTATATTATTTTTTTTGTTTTGTTGGTCGTTTTTCTTTTTCTTTTTGTTTTTTTTTCTGTGTTGTGTGCAAGAGGCTTCTAGAATGAGGTGTGTGCGCCTAAATGCAGTTACACACATGAAAGGACCGTTTGTTCATGTGTATTTGTTTAGATGCGTGTTAACTGAGTTGATGTTGTTTTCTTTTTGTTTTTCACGATGGCCTGTTGGGAGATGGCGAGTGCTTTTCCGCCGCAACTTGCGTCGCTGCCGCACTGCACGCGGATGGGTCAGGCGGTTACGGACCCCCAGGGACTGCCGCTTCGCGAGTTCTCAACATACCCGGCCCTCGTAATACGTCATGATGCATTAATTGTTTTTGCTTGTGTAGGACAGAAATGAATTTACTTCTTATTGGAACTGTGGGTAAAGGGGGCCGAACTGTACTGTTGGTTTTCACTGGTTTTCCTCTCTCTCTCTGTGTGGGAAGAGCGGAGAAGGTCTGTATCCAGGTATCCTAATGCCTTGCTGCAGGTCTTCTGCTATCTTGTGGCGCCTATCCTTGGTTGGGGAGGAGGAAGTTAGTCAGGGGGTGGGGTGCATTCGTGTGGCAGTACCAGATAGACGGTGAGATAGAGAGAGAGAGGCGTTGGAGAGGTGTGGAGGTTATATACAATCGCCGGGTGCTGTAGCCACAAGTGAACCTTACAGATAGATGAGATGTATCCCTTAACCATGGCCCGTATATCAAAGAGTTTTACAGTGGAGTGCGTGTAGGTGACAGGTGGTATTAACAGTTATGAATTTCATTTTTTGTTGCTCTTGTTGTTGTTCCCCATCCTCACCCCTCACGCTATGCTTTGCCCCTTTGCTTGTCTGCAACTGATCCCCTTTGCGGGCCTCTTTGGGTTGTCTCCGTTACATCTTTGTTTTACTTTCTTCTTTTCCTGTTCTCTCTCTCTCTATCCGCTTCTTTTCTTTGGCCCAGGTTGTAGGTCATGCAGGCCCCCAGCGACGACGACGTTGCCCGCCAAGAAGCCTTTAAGCGACGGGTGGAGGCACATGCGCAATGGAAGCGGAACTTTTTTCAGAGCCGACCGCCGCCGCTGTTCATTCCCAAATGTCGTCGTCGTCGTCGCGAGCGCATCGCTGGTGCCCCTGTGCATGCCTTGTATAAGCGGGCCCTGCAGCTCGTGAGCGCTGAGGCAGGGCGCTCGTCGCCCGCTTTGTCGCCCCTGCGGCAGTCACGACGGAGGTGGCGGAGCCGCAGAGCAAAAAAGAGGCGTGGCAGGAGAGGATGATGCTCGAGGTGGAGCGCCGCAACCCGTACACGGACATCAACATACGCACCGATCCCCGGCGCACCGTAGTGATGTCCAGCCTGCACCCCAAGTCCTTGGAGGAGGACATCCGCCTGTTTGGCGAGCAGTTTGGGCGGGTCATAAGCGTACGCCTCGTCTGCGACAGGAACGGGCGGAGCCGCAGGTACAGCTTTGTTCAATTTGGGTTGGAGGCGGAGGCACGAAAGGCGGTGGCGAACAGCCGTAAGCGACGGCTACACGGACACGCTGTCGTGATGGAGATGGAGCGCGGGCGGCTGGATCCCGGCTTTTTGCCGAAGCGGCTCGCCTCAGCAAGCCGCCAGACTGCGGGGTCACCGTCGACGGGAGGCGCCAAACAGAAGCGTGTGGAAGGGGGTGCGACGTATCCGCCGGCAGCGATGTTGGGAGGAGGCGTGTCAGCCGCGATGGCAGATACTCGCGACGAGGTGGACGCCTTTCTGGACGACATTATGAATCTCACATGAATATCCCTTTCTCTCTACGCTTTTAGGTGTGTGGTGGTGGGTTCTGTCTGCCCGTGTGACGACGGAGCAAGGGCGCTGCGTGCTTACAGCTGTGCAACTATTGGAGTTGCTGCTGTCGTGTGTATCACGCTTGTTACTTCATTTCTTCTTTTTTTTTGTTTTTCTTCACATAACGGCGCAGCTGAAGGCGAGCGTGCGTGAGTGATTTAGGTCTAAGCGTTCATTGAGAACTTTTTTTTCGTTAATTGTTTTCCTTTTACTTTTTTTTTTTGTTCCGTCTCTCTCTCTCTGTGTGTGTGTTTCCTCATATTTGTTTTGTATTGCATTGGCTTGGGAGCAGAGGGCAGTCAGGATGCATGTCTATTCTATTCAGCAGATTCTTGAGGTGCAGTCGCTGTACAGGGATGCGCCGTATCCCGGCTTTTCGTTGGAGGAGGCGTGCCGGCGGAAGAGGATGACGCAAACGAAGCTTGTGCGTGGGGCCAACGCGTGGGTGGCCCGGGGCTCGGCGAAGACGACGGAGGAGTGGGTGGAGCGGCTGGTGCAGGGTTCCCTCAATAAACTTAGCACGGCAAACTTTGACGCCATGGTAGCAAAGTTGCAGACCGATGTTATTTTCTCCACAAACGAAACGTTGAAAATAGCGGTGCAGATTATCTTCAATAAGGCCCTGGATGAGCCGGAGTGCAGCAAGTTGTACGGCGGGGTTTGTTACAAGCTTGCGGAGTTTGAAGTAGGCCTCACCGCGGTGCAGCAGCCAACGGACGGCAAGAAGCACTCCAAGCTGCGCAACGCTGTGGTTGGAATTGCGCAGGAGGAGTTCCTGAGCCGGCGGAAGATGCCGTCGATGGAGGGTCTCACGGAGGATGAGATGGAGCTGCGGCGCGCCACCTTCATGCGACGCAAGCGCGCAAACATGAAGTTCATCGGGGAGCTGTTCATGCACAAAGTCCTCTCCCAGAATACCATGATGAATATCATTCAAACCATCATGCAGGAGGCGGAAAAAGGCGGTCACCCCACAAGCGAGGACATTGAGTTTCTCACAGAACTCTTTTTGACCATTGGGGAAAGCCTGGACGCCGTACCGGAGCTACGGCTGCGGGTGGATAGGTACTTTGAGCTGCTGGAGGTCCTAAAGGAGCAAAAGGATGTGTACCCGCCGCGTATTCGCTTCAAGATACTCGACATCATTGAACTGCGGAGTAAGTTTAACTGGGAGCGGCGTAAGGCGGGGGCACCCAAGACGTCTCCTCCGACGCAGCGAGAGACACCGCGCGTGACGGACAAGACCGCCATGCGACCCTCGACGAGTGCCTCGTCCAATGGAGCCAAGAAGGGACGGTATGGCGGCGCTCCCGATGCGGCTTCACAGCAAGCAGCACCAGCACCAGCACCAGCTTCCGCACCAGCCAAGGCGGCGGCTGGGGTGATGGGTGGTCGCAGCTGGAGCAACATTGTCAAAACTGCACTGATACCAGACGATGCTCCTGTGACTCGAGTTGTTGAACCGGTGAACTTTGAGGCGCGTGTGAGCTGCCTCTTCCAGCAGTGGGTGGCTGAGTGCTCGAACGACTTTATTCCGGAATGGATGGACGAGTTCCGTGATTGCCAGCGGCAGTTCGACTCGGAGGATGCCCTTTGCAAGGCGGCGGCGGCGGTGGTGGTGCGGGAGGCGTGTATGACCACAAAGAAGGAGGCGCAGCGGGAAGCAAGCAGCTTTCTTATCGTAGGCCTCTTCCTGGCGGATGACGAGGTCCTGGACGGCTTTGCGATGGCGTTGGTCTCCGCCATCGAGGAGGGGATCTTGGAGGACGTGCCTAAGTTTAGTGAGCGCTTCATCAACATGCTTCGCATCACCTCCGGCGAGAACACCATCGCAGATGTCTACTACGACACGGCACGCGTGCTGTGCACGGCGTACGCCTTAATGCAGGAGCCCGACGAGGTGGTGCTTGACACCATGATGGGGTTCTGGGAGAAAATCCCTTGCCCCGCCACTGACGAGAACGCCCTCCTGCCGCTTGAAGTGGTGCAGTCATTGATGGAAATGTCCACAGGTGGACAGGCCCCGCTTACCGGCCGCATCATCGCCTCGCTGTACTCCATTGGTCTCGTGCATGACGAGACTGTGAACGAGTGGCTTGCAACCCCGCACGACAGCATCGGTGCTGCGGTGGTTGAGGCGTTTAAGCATGCGACGAAGTGACCTTGCACCTGTCTACGTATGTGTGGAGATATACACACACACGTTACGGCATGATTCCGTTGATTGGGTTCCACAAAAAACATATATTTATAGGCTTCCATAAAAACAAACGAATTAAAAGAAGGAAAAAGAAAAAAGAAAGAGGGAGGGGGGATAGCTGTACACACACACACACTCTCTCTCTCTCTCTCTCTCTCTCTCTCTCTCTCCT